AAAGGAATGCATATTTTCACCATTACAAAAATGAGAAGGAACTATTTCTGACAGGTACTTTGTTTTTGTTTGAACCTACGCTTATACGTTAGAACCAAGGACTTCTCAGCACATATCAATATATAGAGAGCATTCAATTTGAAAGATTACGCGTTTCATGATCATATGACTGCCATCATCGTGTGTCCAATAAAATCGAACTGGCTTTTCCACTTAAAAAGGAACGGACTAGTAAACTTTATCGGTCGCAAAACAGCACTTCTCCATGAGCGCGCAGAGCCTCTCAGCACGCAGGACTTGTAGGAATTGACGGAAATGATATGCATGCTCTTCCACGGTGGACGAAAATATGCAGATGTCGTCGAGATATGCAACAACGAGCGGAAACTTGTCGAAAAGAGACCTCATCAGACGAGACCAAATGCCTGGCATCCCGGACCATCGCAAGGCAGCGTTGCTCACGCGGATTCATGTTCTTGGCGCTGAAGAACGTGCTTACTTGGTGGACGTTTAGGATAAAGGTCTCCAATAGTTTGCCATGGTACTTGGGCATACTTAGTCCCTCGACCTTCATTTCCATCCGACGAGGGGATTCTTCAACTCCAGCTGTTGTTGCATCAGCTTACCGTGGGACATTATGAACTTTGACTTTCCATAAGTACTTGAACCGTTCTGGTTAATTTCGCAAAGACTTGCTCCAAAGTCAATGCTTGTTGTTGGGAAGTCATTGTTGAATTGACGAAGTCGCTCAATTCATCATAATCTTCAGCCTGTTTCTTGAGTTTACGCCGGTCGACTCCAATAACTTGGTCGAACTTGCGCGTCAAAATAGTCTTGACCTTCTTCAATAGCTGACGGCTTTTTCGGTTGAGCATGATGGCTTGGTCTTGTTTCCCGATTTGCGTTAATTTGAGATAATGCTCTAAAACCTCCCTAAAGTTTATCGCTTGTACAAAAAGTACACCTGGAAATCGCAGCGGTAGTTGTCAAGAAATTCAAACGCGGCATGGACGCTGTATTGAATCTTCCTCAATTCGTCTTCTTGCAACAACACACGACGCTTCGTACGCGTCACTACAAATTAGTGGTGAGAAGGTTGGTCCTCTGGGGTGGCCTGTAAACAAGACTTACTATCCACGACAGAGAAATGACGTCCCTTGAGAGCTCACGACTAAATGTTGCGACAGTTGGAGGGGCTTTTGCGCAGGCACAGACACTCGCACGTGGCGCGAAGTGTAGGCACGGGGCACGGACGACGGCGATGGGAACCAGGAAGTGCTACCAAATGAAGACAGGATGGTCTACTGGTGGTTCAAGTGCAAAATGAAAAAGTGAATTTGGCGTTCAAGCTAGATATCTCATCTATCTACGTTCTCCTATAGGTCATACAGTCTCTAGTATACGCATATTCTAGCATATCTTTCGAAGGGACGCTTGATGTTCTTGGGGCTAGCCTCGAACAATACAGGGAACGACGCTGAATAAGTCCGCGCCAAAAAATCGGAAATACTTTTTGAACTATCCAATCACAGATGACTATGAATAATAAATGATTCTGATTGGTCTAAATTATTCCCGGCCTTTTTGAAACCCATCGGCCCTCCACGATTTGATAACCTGGTCAACCGAGTCGACTACTCATGGGCGGCGAGCCACCAAAGCGTCGTCAACGACCAAAGCTTGCGCAAAAGCTACATGCCGTGCAATTGGCGGAGAGAACATCTGTTCAGCATGCCGCTGCTGTCACGGGATATGACGAGAGATGCGTGCGTCGTTGGGTGCGAACCAAGTCCACTATGATGGCCTTCAAGGGATCCAAGACGCGCAAGAAGAACCTTGGCGCATGCGGCGGCAAGCCGATCATCCCGGATTCTCACGGGATGG